GTCTCCCTTTTTTTTTTTTTTTTTTTTTTTTTTTTTTTGTTTGAAGAAGAAGAAGAAGAAGAAGAGCCCGAGGTGGTGCTAGGGGTGCTGATAGGAGCAGGCACCACTACCACTCTCGGGGAGGCTCCATCTATCGGTGGGGAGCAGCACTTGCTGGAAACAGGGTCCAGCGTCCCTGAACATCGTGCTTGCTTGTTTGTACAGACATCTGATTGTGGCGACTGGTAGCTGCATGGCCCACCCTCGGAGGAGGAATAAGGGACGCTGGGCCCGGTTCCCAGCACGTGCTGCTGCTCCCCACGAGTAGATCGGAGCTGTGTTTTCATATTATATTATATTATATATATATCGTCACAAACAGAACTGCCCGGTAAACCGTAGGCAGAGAGAGAGAAGAGGACAACAAACGAGGGGCTGTGACMAACTGTTTCGTCGGAGTTTCACCGACTCATCAGGAGGCTGAACCCTCAACAGTCTGCAGAATCCCCTCACTGATTACACTGTAAATGATAATCTACCTTAACCAAAATCAAAGTAGACTATCACTCACCCACACCAGATGGATATATATTAAAAATAATAATAATAAAAAACTGCCTCAATTGCTGGTAAATAGCAACTGGACTGCAGCCCCTCAGAATAGATGGGGCATGAGTGGAGTGTTGTGTTTTCTCAAAAAAGAAGGGGGATAAAAAAAGAACTGTCGCACTGTGACACAAACATATCTACCACCTTCCGCTGAACACAACACACCCCTGCCAGCTATCTTTCCGGACCGGTGCAGTCAAAAAATGAGGGTGCATTTGTGTTCGGGGGAATTACTTAATAATGTTGCCAAATAAGGTTTCTCTGACTCTCAGTTTAGTATTCTAAGATTTCCACATATTTTTCCCAGCAAAACATTACTTGTGACAGGATTTGACACTGCAAACGTCCCACTAGGCCCCGATAGGCCGAGTCCCAGGCTAGGGTCTGTAGGGTCCGGTCGGTCTTGTTAGGTCGACACGCCGTAGGAACCAGTCGGGCTGGTAGCCGAAGAGTCAGGCCGGTAAAAGTCAGTCTGGTACCTGACAAGACAAGTCCAGTGACTCCAGTCCCGAAGTCCAATTCTGCAGCAGCACCCCCGGAAAGGCTGGAACATACCGGACCAACCAAAAAAAAAAAAAAAAAAAAAAAAAAAAAAAAAAAGAAGAAGAAGATTATGCAGCAGACAGGCCCTGGGCGACCCCTACTGCTCGGAAGTAGGCCAAGAACAAGTCAATGTCCCTATTTATAGATGCTACAGTGCAGCGCACGGGCACTTACTCAATCGCGCACTTGCGGAAGCACTGGTGGCTGCTTGTGCGACTTAGCGACTTAGGCGATGCGCCTGAAGGAAGAAGGAAGCACCATAGAGAGGGTTTCGAGAGAGGAAGACGGCGGCCATAGCCACTACAGTTGATAGCGAGTTGGGGCGGATGTATCCAGGGTGTAGAGTCTAGGACTATATG